ATTGGAAAAAGAATTGACAACATATACATGCTTGACTTAGAACACTCAATAGTAATTTCTAATACTAAGTGCTTAATAACCCAAGAAGACAATATTTGGCTTTGGCATAGGAGAGCTGCACATATTCACATGGATCATTTAAATAAACTGAGTAGGAAGGAATTAGTGGTAGGATTACCTAAACTCAAGTTTAGTAAGGACAAACTATGTGATGCTTGTCAAAAGGGAAAGCAAGTGAAGACTAGCTTTAAAAGAAAAAATCAGATTTTCATAACTAGACCTTTGCAATTAATTCACATGGATTTTTTTGGTCCTCCAAGAACCATGAGTCTAGGTGGGAAATAATATAATATTTTATTAAAAAGAGAAGAGATTTGTAACTGTGATTATTATATTTTAACTAGAGGGTTAAAGAGAGATTATTTATAATAAAAAAAAAAGTTTTCTAATAAAACATTTTTTACAGCTCTATTTTCACGTACTCGCTTTAAAGCCCGAATAACAAGAGTAGGAAGAAAAGCACCTCGAAGTCGTGCACCTAGCATCTAAAGCTTATCTAGGTAAGTGGGGAGTGAAAAACATCGTTCTAGTGTGAGTTTGTATGTCGAATAATGAGATTGATCTCTAATTCTATGTATTTTGTGTGTTCATGTATGAGGGTTTTCCCCCAAGTGTGTCTGTTACTTCTTGATTTCTTGTGTGTGATTAATGGTATGAATTGCTTAAATGTATGATTAATTTTATGTTTTGGGTGGTAATTGTATGATTCGAGGTCTTAGTGGATTCCTACTGTGGGTTCCCATGGGAAACCCTAAGGGAATGCATTGGTGGTTGTATGAAGAGATTGATTGGATATGTAGTTATATGAGTGTATTGTATATGTTGTCGTGCTGAGTTGGGCTGACATGGATGATTTTCATGTTGAATTAAAATATTGTTGTACTATAGGTTGTTGGGCTGTTACATTTGGTATCAGAGCCGGGACCCGGGCCGGTGTGCCAGCGAGGGCGCTGGACTCCCTTGAGGGGGGTGGATTGTGAAGTCCCACATCGGTTAGGAAGGAGAACGAAGCATGTCATATATATGGGTATGGATACCTTCCTTGTGTGGACGCGTTTTGGGATGGCATGCGTGCCATTGCTAGAAGCAAAACCGTGAGGGCTGCGGCCAAAACGGACAATATCCACATGCGGGTTGCTGGGGTGTTACATATTGTGTTGTTTAAGATGCTAATTATATAATTTGGGAGTGTTTTTATCAATTGAAATGTGAATATTGAATTTGAGGTGTGTGCTTGAGAATTCATGATTTTGCAGATGTGTGATTTATAATATGTTGTAAGGTGCCACTTATGGCACATCGGGCATCGTCAAGGCCAAGAGCAAGGTTTGCTCTCGGGATCTCTCATGTTGGGTGTGGGATGATCCTTGTTGGGTGTAGAAGGTCCAAGGTTCTCTATGATGCTTCTACCAGGCGTGAATTGATTCTCGTCAAGCATGGACACTTTAGAAGACTCTCAATGGTATTCTCGTTGGTTGTGGACTTGATCACGTTGAGTGCAGTTTATATAGAGACCAATGTGATCCTCTAGAGGACTTGTGCTGTGTGTCGTTGGGCACTGTCCTACATGCAGTTCTCATATTGTTCTTCTGCTTAATTCAATGCTTGTAACTCTTGTAATGTTAAGTTAGATATGAATTGATCCTTGTGATGAGTATATGAAAGTGTACAATGAGTATGGAATGTGAGAAAGGTGTGAAATGTGAAATTTTGGAATTATGTGAATGTAATGTATAGAGTCTGTTTGACATACATCATGTGTATAAAATATTTTTGAAAGGGTACGATATGGAATACACCACCAAGAAAAATCCCTTATGTAAAAGCCTGGGAACCAACCTTGGGGATAACTTGATTTCAAAGTCCCACTCCTGCCCTCGTCAGCATAGGATGTATCTTGTGTGACTTAACTATCCCGACTAGACCCTAGTAGTATGTCCTTCTAGTCAGAATGCATAGAGAGTGTGACCCGACATTTACTCCTAGACTACTTTAGTGAGTTGCTAGCGACAATGCACAAGTGTGATGTTTTTATTATAGTGTCACATGCATGATAACATGTAGTTCATATCCATTGCATACGCATTATAATCATATTTGTTGTTGTATGTTTTGTTATGAATGAATTAGGTATGATGATAATGTGTAACTATATATGTTGTTTCTTATTGTGTGCAATGTTTGTGTTTGACTAGCCGGTTTGCATTCTTACATTGTGAGCTAGAGTGAAATGTTTCACATTCTCTTTTCTTTTGTGTTGTCTTTTTGTGATTTTTGTAGATAATTATTAGCATGGTACTAAGGATGTCGATGGTGAGACTTAGTCCTCAACATTGAATTTTGCTCTGATAGGACACGTGATACCAGAGAATTAGTTAGGACTCATTAGGATTTGATTTTTGATACTTACTTTGAGTAGTTTTATTTTTATTTTTTTTAATTGTTATTTTTGTTAAATCTAGTTTAGGTAAAAATATGATATTTTTTTTTCTACTTGAATGAATTTTGGGTCTATTTATTATATTGAAGTATTTTTATGTTATTTATTATATTATGTGTTATGCAATATGGTGTAGAGGGTGTCACAAATGATAGTGTAAAATTAATTTATATAACATCTATTATATATATTTATTGTATATGTCTTTGCTATAATTAATTTAATATAACTGTTATGTTTTTATCAATAAAATTATTATTAAAAAGATTTATAGAAAATCACTAAAGTGTTCTTTAATGAATAATTGTACCAAGAATGATGAATTAGGAAAACATTAGAGCTGCTCTTTGCTGAATTTATTTTCTTTTCTAT